TAGACAGGGCTGGACATCGTCCGTTGACAAGGCTGGACGCGCTGCGGACGTCCGTTGGCAATGTGCGCGTTGCCGCTGACCGGATAATTTATCGCTTGGAGAATAACGTGCTCTAACGCAAACTTCGTTAGCGGTGAAGCGACCGTTGTTAACCTACGTCCGCCTCGCGTCTGGCTGCGTTTTCAACGCACATCGCTGTAGTCTGAACGCACCCATTTGCAGCTGCTTCTGTAGCGCACGAGCTTATTTAGCCTGTCTCTCTAAATCTATACAGAATTTCTTTCTCCTGAGCTTTTTGAAGAACATTGTAGCACGTCGATCATCGAGAAGTTATCTATACTTAAGGAAAATGGAAAAAAAGGTTTTTATTACGATTATTCGATGTTAAAGTAAGTGACTAAAAAGGAAATTGGGGATTCAAATCATTCAATTTTGAGTAGTCTACCTTTCGAAATGAGAAGTTTAAAAAATATTTTGACGTTTTCAGTTTCATCGTTAACTTGGCTTGCTCCGATTTATTACTATGTGTCGTCACAGCTCCAGTAACGTTATACACAAGTGCAAATGCGTTTTGGCCTTTTGGCGATATCGCTTGCAAAGTGGTAAGTCGCCGACACTACACCAGGACAACTCGTCCACTCGTGGGCGTAATTACCTCCATCATTTGGGAAGAAATGTTTTCTTTTTTAGTTGGCGTCTGTTCAAGCGGTGAACACTTTTGTGTCATCACTTACATTGGCGTTAATCGCAATGGATCGTGTACTACTAACAAAGTATCCAGTTAAATGGTTAGTTAATGACATTGATAGCCATGGCGATCCTAAAGCTAGAAAAATCGATTATCGATCGATTTCAGGCGATTGGCCGCAACAGCGTCGATCATTTGTTACTGCGTCGTTTGGGTTGTATCGATCGTTATCGCCTTACCGTATTCTCTTACAGTGAAATCCCAGAAATTCGATAAAGTCGAACCGTGGAATGATGTACATACTCCGAAAATGGTAATATCATCGCGATTGTTGTTGATTGTCAATCAATCGATTGATATTTATATTATTTATATTTTTATTTATATTTAGTATTAATTTTTTTCAGCTCAGTATATGTGGACGATCTTATCCAGAAATCTGTATGGAAATCCAGGATACATGGGAACGTGCCTATATTTCCAAAACCACATTCACAATTACGGTGCTAGCTATTCAGGTAATCATTTTCGATTATCGATCGATCACAGTCCTTCCCCTACTTGTCTTTTCGTAACGCCGCATTCAGTTATGAGGGGAAAGAGGCGCCATCGGGGCCGGCGATAAGGTCACCGCAACGACGCCAATTCTAAACCAATCTGATTTTGTTCAAACTTTCAGTATCTACTACCACTATTTGCACTGGCTTATGCTTACGTACAAATTGGATCAACAATACGACGTCGATCAAAAGTGAGCCGAACGATTAATCAAGCTCGACGTATGAGTATGCAAAGTAGGAACAGGTCAGTGGCGAAGGCTTGTTTGATAGAAAAAACGAGGAAAATTTTATGTCATGTCACTTTGCCTCTACAAATTTGGGAAAAGAGTTCCAGTGGGAGCGACCATTATGGATGGCTAGCCATAAGGGGGACAGATGCGAACAGGCCGCTTATGATGGGTTGACCACTTGGGAAACGTGTATGAACGCTTCACCCACAACTTGTGGGCCCATTGTGGTAATCCTCATACGTCTCAAGCCTGCGGTGACTTTGAGCTAATTGCCTCACTACTCATGGCGTCGTCATTGTTTGTGTTAGCTAGTTGTCGCGGCTGGTATGCAAATCGGGGCAACTAACTAAAATGGCCAACCATGAGTAACGTGTACATATATGAAACTGCTTTGACTCTAGATTAAAATATGTCTGATCCACATCACTACGATTCATATAAACGCTCTTTTTTCTATCTGGAAGTCTAATTATTTATTCATTAAAATAACTTATTAAAAAGAGGTAACTTTGTCGATACGTCTTCCAACTTTGGATTCTACGGAAATCGTTGGACAGCTGGGTTCATGCCTCAAACACATCTTCGACAGCAACTTTATTCCGAAAATGGTCCGTGTTCGAGTTGGGTGCTGAAAATACGGTAATCCCAAAGTGTTGTATCGAATTTCGGCGATCAATTTAATCTAAAATGTTTTGGGGTCGGTAAAACTCATAACCAGTTAAAACAATTCCCTAATTAGCATCAAGGAATACATAAAAAGGTAACTAAATAATCTCTGACTCTCTTTTCTTACTATACTCGTTTCTAATAGTAAACAAGATCCTGCCCCGATTTGCCGCAACACAAAAGGCTTTTGGCCTAAAATTCAGTTAAAGCTAATTGAGACACCTCCTCGTAACCATTGTTGTCAAACACTGCCATGTTGACAAGCTTGATACGCTGCTTGGCACGTTGTCAAAGCTCTTGTCACTCAAACGTCGACGTGTGCATAGCAATTTCCTCCTACATCTACCACATATAGCTACATTACATCACCAAGACATCATGAATCTTCAAGGTTACGTGCCCGACCAAATGAGGGCCCTCAGTATTTCAGTATAGGCTACCTAGCGCTTTATTCAACCTTTTTCCAAACGATACGTAGCTTCATGTCACAGATTTCTTGCAAGACATTCAGGGCCAGGAGGGAGCCATTTTCTTCAGAGGCAGTTCAAAATGCCAAGTAAATGTGGGAAGTCGGAGTCCTCCCAGCGAGGTGACCAGCTCCTAACTTCCGCTCTCATTCTGTGATGACGGATGCCTCGGAAACTTATGTTCAGGCATTGCAAAGTAGAATCCCAAGTGCATCCACTCGATGGTCTTAAATCGGGACCCCACACGGTATGCCTAAAAATTGAAGACCAGGGCAGACAGGATAGGATGCCACGGAACGTACCATGCGTTGTCGCCCGCGACGATCACACGCCGCGCAGGGAAGTATGCAAGACCGTGCGCGCGCCATTCTTTGACAGGCAATCTTTTTCATTCATAGGGTCTGAAAGAGGGTCACTGAGGTCTAACTAGCTCAACTAGGGAAGTGTAGCCGCCGAGCGCTTTCCCATGCCTATCATGCCTCATTGTGTACTGCATTTACTAAGCGCATAGCGGGTATGTCTAATGCCGCGCAACCGCGCGAAAAATTCGCGAGTTTGTTATTTCACTCCCAATTCGTCTTACATACAAGTTTTAATTAGCTTGTGTTTACACGAGGCCACGTTCCTGGGGGTATGAAATTCTCGTAAACGATATCTTCAGCAATGACAGTTTGTTACTGCGTTCCAAGAAGTCACGGCCATAGCTTCTCAGCTGATTTCAAATGAAAAAACAAACTTACATGGGAATGATGCTTAGGCTGGCATGTCACTAAACATAGGATTTGCCTTCTCAAATCATCATTCAGAATCAGTATCATCCACGCATTCACATAGGAGAAGAAGCAGCTGATCATTGGGAACAGTCTTCTCATGGAGTATATTGGACCATCCTGAAAGCATCTTTTTCAAATTCTGGAAAGCATAGGTTATCACAACTATTTTTTCCCAGGGAGATTTGTCAGGGTTTCAGAAATTTCCCTGGAATGCCTTTACCTCCCAAACTATACTGGACTAGGGAGCAGGAATCTGGTAAAGTCAACTATTGGTTAAGGAGGAAGGAGGATATACCCTTTTTCCCTTTTTTATGAATCGTCCAGGGCAGAAGGTCGAAAGTTTTAGTGCCGATTCATTCTGCTCGGGAGTATTTACCATACATAGGGCTTCTTTTCAGGACCCTTCCTTTGTTATTGGGTACGATCGGGAAATCATAATCATTCGGTTATGATATTTACAAATATTTGGCCTCATCTACTGCTCCATTTTTCATTTTCCAATACTCCAGTATTTCCATCCCATAGACCAATTCAGGGCAGCTAATGGACCCCGGAAGGGTGCAGGACTGGGTTCCTCCGTTCGGCCTCTGATTTAGACTTTATTCCCTTATAATGTGGGCGGTATCGCTGCCATTAGCCCCTATTCCTATCCCCTGAATATGAAGCAAACAACAAATCACTTACCTGGTAATGAAGTGCGAAAACAAATTGCACTATATTAAAAATTTGGAAAAGTATGAATCCAACAAACAATCCCAACATTTGAATATAAAGACGACGTTCCCGTTGCATTGCCCTGAATCAATTCCTATATGAAGAGGTGTAATGAACATTGTGTGACGTTAGGTCAGCTCGCGGATTTGCCGCACGCGACGGGGGACATAGTTGCTGCGTTTATGACCGCGCCGCTTTGATGTGCCGTTCATGCTCGCCGCATCCTAACGACACACTTCCGTAGTCAGCTACTGGGAATAGAGTCGACTTACGCGCTACTGCAGCCACGGTTCTTTATCAAAAACTTCAGTACCGCTCCGTAGCACATGCTGGTGAGAATGAATGTAATCGTTACGAAAATGGCACTCAGCGAAGCTGCGTTCTGAAAATCAGGGCCAATGTAGAAGAGGGCAATACGAATAAGCATTAACTACTTAGGTTTATACTACTCCAAGCTTTATTTATCGCTCACTTTAATGTCTCCCGAAGAAGCTGCAACTTCAAGATGGCCTGGGCCTTCGAACGAAGCATGACTAAATAGCAATATTGGAATTGAATAGGCTGCTGGCACAGCCCACTGTAGAATTGGCAGAATCCATCGATGGGACGTATTGATGACCTGAAAAAGGGACGGAACTGACTTGCAGTGGTGAAAATTGATTTCGGATAGTAATACCTGCTCAATAGAATGTCCACTTCTGCAAAGGGAAATATATCTTTGAAACGAGATCAGGAGTACGCCAAAAACTCGCATACACATGGATATATACGTGTGATTGAAACACCATGTAGCAAAATAGTATTGTTCATGGTTTCTCCAATAGAAATCATTCAAAAGATCCGAGAAACGTAATATTGCAAAGAAAAACTCATCCACCATGATCACGATATCCATTATACCCTATAAAAAGTTGGATTCGAGACGTCTGGCTGGGCGGCGAAGGTGTAGTTCAAAAGGCGCACTATCACACACGCATGGTCACGGGTTCGGATCCCGTATCGAGATCCCCTCGGTCGACTAACCAAGCCCTCCATCCCTCGGTTAGTTGGTGCCAGACTCGTCTGGGAAGATAAAAGCACTGCCTTGAACATCGGCTGGCCACGGCAAGTCATTGTATAGACCACATATGCATTCAATACGCCACTACAATTTTGAATAGAAGTCGAATGCGGTGGCGCATCCCTCGGACGGTTGATCGACTCCCAAAGACTTAATCTTTCATCCTTTTATCCTCAAATGGAATGTTTGACCCATTTTTGATTCTGTTAAGAACAGATTACTAGCTCCATCTACATCTTAACAGATGCCATAACAACCTTCCCTGCGTACGGTCTTCCCAGTAATTCCATCCGGGAACAACCGGGATAAAGATCACCTAGCTGCTTCCTTTGTGAGCTTAAACTCATACCTGAGAAATAGATATAATGTAGAAAGTACTTTGCGGAGATTTGTGCTGGACCTCTTTGATACAAATAATGATGAGTAGTATGTAGAGTGGTAGTGAAACAATGTTGACCACGATGAAGATCCATTGCGGTGCCCCGAGCACCATCGTTTTTTACCTCCTCAAGCTCACTTGTTTTCTTTGCTTAGCTCTACTGAAATAGACTAGAAAAAAGACCAGTTATGGTTCACGAGAAACTGGTTGAGAAAACAGTTGGCATAGATTCTGTTTTCTCAGAAATGCTGTCTTTCTTTCAGGAGAAGGATGGTAATCATAGAAAGCAGGAGACGGGTGGCGGTATCTGGGAGAATACTATCTGGAGACACCTAATCCTTGCCTGTAACTAAACTTCAAATTTGACGTCTAAAAGTCTTTTTTTCTGAGAATCTACAGAGCTACAGATAGGGAGAGAAACTAAGAGACTAAAGCAAACCCATATGAATGGCTTTGTTTCACCTTATCGACGTTGGCTACAAAAGTTCGACGATTGACTTTCTGTATTGTTTTTTTCACATGTATTAATTAGAACTGGATTATATTCTCAGGAATCGCCTACAGGGTTACTACAATCGCTCCCGAGAGGGTAAACAAAATTTCAGACGTGAGAATATTCTCGAAACAACTTCCTAACATTTCTTGGATAGAAAAGTGGGAATGTAGGTATTAGGGTGTCCCAAAAGTTTTGAGAAAATTTATTTGGTTTGTTCAACACAAAAATACTACAACAAAAAGGTGAGATCAGTAATCGAGATAGTGGCCCTCTTTAGCCACGACGTCCCTCCATCGACTGGGCAGAGCACTGATGCCATTCATCTAGAAAGAAGAAGGGCGTGAAGCGATCCATTCATCCACTGCATGTTTGATCTCCTGACGGTTGTTGAAGTTTTTCCCTTTCGTGTAGGCCTCCAGGCTTCGAAAGCATGGTAGTCACAAGGACTAAGATCAGGTGAATATGGAGGGTGGGGTAGCCAGGTGATCCCAAGCCTTTCCAGCTCCTCAGCCGTCGCCCTAGTATGATGTGGTCGAGCG